GATTACAACAGTGGATGGGTAATAATCTGGATCAGAATCAGTGTCAGGATTATAATATGAATTTGACTCAGTGTTTGAATCGGGATCAGATGAGTATCAGAATCGAGATCAGTGCGGATCTAGATTGAAATCAGGTACAGAATCTGGATTAGAGTTCAATTCCCTGATAAAATCAATTTCGGGTTACAAGCAGAATCACATTCAGGGAATCGCGATTATAACAGTGGATGGGTAATAATCTGGATCAGAATCAGTGGCAGGATTATAATATGAATTTGACTCAGTGTTTGAATCGGGATCAGATGAGTATCAGAATCGGGATTAGTGTGGATCTAGATTGAAATCAGGTACAGAATCTGGATTAGAGTTCAATTTCCTGATAAAATCAAGTTCTGGTTACAAGCAGAATCACATTCAGGGAATCGCGATTACAACAGTGGATGGGTTATAATCTGGATCGGAATCAGTGGCAGGATTATAATATGAACTTGACTCAGTATTTGAATAGGGATCAGATGAGATCAGAATCGAGATCAGTGAAATCAGGTACAGAATCTGGATTAGAGTTAGATTCCCTGATAAAATCAAGTTCTGGTTACAAGCAGAATCACATTCAGGGAATCGCGATTACAACAGTGGATGGGTTATAATCTGGATCGGAATCAGTGGCAGGATTATAATATGAATTTGACTCAGTGTTTGAATCGGGATCAGATGAGTATCAGAATCGAGATCAGTGCGGATCTAGATTGAAATCAGGTACAGAATCTGGATTAGAGTTAGATTCCCTGATAAAATCAAGTTCTGGTTACAAACAGAATCATATTCAGGAAATCGCGATTACAAAAGTGGATGGGTAATAATCTGGATCGGAATCAGTGTCAGGATGATAATATGAATTCGACTCAGGGTTCGAATCGGGATCAGATGAGTATCAGAATCGAGATCAGTGTGGATCTAGATTGAAATCAGGTACAGAATCTGGATTAGAGTTCAATTCCCTGATAAAATCAAGTTCTGGTTACAAGCAGAATCACATTCAAGGAATCGTGATTACAACAGTGGATGGGTAATAATCTGGATCGGAATCAGTGTCAGGATTATAATATGAATTTGACTCAGTGTTTGAATCGGGATCAGATGAGTATCAGAACCGAGATCAGTGTGGATCTAGATTGAAATCAGGTACAGAATCTGCATTAAAGTTCAATTCCCTGATAAAATCAATTTCGGGTTACAAGCAGAATCACATTCAGGGAATCGCGATTATAACAGTGGATGGGTAATAATCTGGATCGGAATCAGTGGCAGGATTATAATATGAATTTGACTCAGTGTTTGAATCGGGATCGGATGAGTATCAGAATCGAGATCAGTGCGGATGTAGATTGAAATCAGGTACAGAATCTGGATTAGAGTTAGATTCCCTGATAAAATCAAGTTCTGGTTACAAGCAGAATCACATTCAGGGAATCGCGATTACAACAGTGGATGGGTTATAATCTGGATCGGAATCAGTGGCAGGATTATAATATGAATTTGACTCAGTGTTTGAATCGGGATCAGATGAGTATCAGAATCGAGATCAGTGCGGATCTAGATTGAAATCAGGTACAGAATCTGGATTAGAGTTAGATTCCCTGATAAAATCAAGTTCTGGTTACAAGCAGAATCATATTCAGGGAATCGCGATTACAAAAGTGGATGGGTAATAATCTGGATCAGAATCAGTGGCAGGATTATAATATGAATTTGACTCAGTGTTTGAATCGGGATCAGATGAGTATCAGAATCGAGATCAGTGCGGATCTAGATTGAAATCAGGTACAGAATCTGGATTAGAGTTCAATTTCCTGATAAAATCAAGTTCTGGTTACAAGCAGAATCACATTCAGGGAATCGTGATTACAACAGTGGATGGGTAATAATCTGGATCGGAATCAGTGGCAGGATTATAATATGAATTTAACTCAGTGTTTGAATCGGGATCAGATGAGTATCAGAATCGGGATCAGTGTGGATCTAGATTGAAATCAGGTACAGAATCTGGATTAGAGTTCAATTTCCTGATAAAATCAAGTTCTGGTTACAAGCAGAATCACATTCAGGGAATCGTGATTACAACAGTGGATGGGTAATAATCTGGATCAGAATCAGTGGCAGGATTATAATATGAATTTGACTCAGTGTTTGAATCGGGATCAGATGAGTATCAGAATCGGGATTAGTGTTCATCTAGATTAAAATCAGGTACAAATCTGGATTAGAGTTCAATTCCCGGATACAATCAAGTTCTGGTTACAAATCGATTATTCAGGGAATCGTGGGTTAATCTGGATCGGTAATAATCAGGATTATAATATGAATTTGACTCAGTGTTGAATCAATCCGATGTTTATCAGAATCCGATGAGTATCAGAATCGAGATCAGTGTGGATCTATCAAAAACAAGGGATTCAGGAGGAAAGTGGATGGTTAACAATCATCCTGACTCAGTGTTTGAACCGGGATCAGATTATCAGACTCGGAATCAGAGTGGATTTAGATTGAAAAATCACATTCAGGGAATCGCGACTACAACAGTGGATGGTTACAATATGAATTTATCAGGACGACAATTGAATTTGACTCAGTGTTTGAACCGGGAAAAGATGAGATCAGACTCGGAATCAGTTCTGGATTTAGATTGAAATCAGGTACAGAAAATCGATTAGAGTTCAATTCCCGGATACAATCAAGTTCTGTTACAAGCAGAATCACATTCAGGGAATCGCGATTATAACAGTGGATGGGTAATAATCTGGATCGGAATCAGTGTCAGGATTATAATATGAATTTGACTCAGGGTCCGAATCGAGATCCGATGAGTATCAGAATCGAGATCAGTGCGGATCTAGATTGAAATCAGGTACAGAATCTGGATTAGAGTTCAATTCCCTGATAAAATCAAGTTCTGGTTACAAGCAGAATCATATTCAGGGAATCGCGATTACAAAAGTGGATGGGTAATAATCTGGATCGGAATCAGTGTCAGGATTATAATATGAATTTGACTCAGTGTTTGAATCGGGATCAGATGAGTATCAGAATCGGGATCAGTGTGGATCTAGATTGAAATCAGGTACAGAATCTGGATTAGAGTTCAATTTCCTGATAAAATCAAGTTCTGGTTACAAGCAGAATCACATTCAGGGAATCGTGATTACAACAGTGGATGGGTAATAATCTGGATCGGAATCAGTGGCAGGATTATAATATGAATTTAACTCAGTGTTTGAATCGGGATCAGATGAGTATCAGAATCGGGATCAGTGTGGATCTAGATTGAAATCAGGTACAGAATCTGGATTAGAGTTCAATTTCCTGATAAAATCAAGTTCTGGTTACAAGCAGAATCACATTCAGGGAATCGTGATTACAACAGTGGATGGGTAATAATCTGGATCGGAATCAGTGTCAGGATTATAATATGAATTTGACTCAGTGTTTGAATCGGGATCAGATGAGTATCAGAATCGAGATCAGTGCGGATCTAGATTGAAATCAGGTACAGAATCTGGATTAGAGTTCAATTTCCTGATAAAATCAAGTTCTGGTTACAAGCAGAATCACATTCAGGGAATCGTGATTACAACAGTGGATGGGTAATAATCTGGATCAGAATCAGTGGCAGGATTATAATATGAATTTGACTCAGTGTTTGAATCGGGATCAGATGAGTATCAGAATCGAGATCAGTGCGGATCTAGATTGAAATCAGGTACAGGATCTGGATTAGAGTTAGATTCCCTGATAAAATCAAGTTCTGGTTACAAGCAGAATCACAATCAGAATGTTTGTCTTTTAGTAACCTTCACCAGCCTGCTTTCTAGATGATTCCTATTCTGATTCCGATCGTGACTTCTCTGATTATCTCATAATCGTGATTTCTGATTGCAGCCATGATTTCAATCTCGATTCTGCAGGTTCCAACCATGATTCTGCTTCTTATCCTGATTCTGATTCCGTTTCAGTTTCGCGAATCGTTACCGCGTCCTGTGGCGCTTCGGTTCTCTGATCCTGGTACCTGCCGATTATGTGCTATTTTGCGAATACAACTTTTCTTAGGTCAATTCATTTTATACAAATTGTGGGCATCAGTTGATTTTGGATTTTTTTATGTACGCATCAAGTACAATAGATTCTAGGAGGCAAAGAAGGTGACCACTACATTTTTAGGGCATTTTTTAAGATTGAAAAAAAATGAAAAATGAAAACGTGCATAACTTTTACATGCGACAACCAACTGGTGTCGGAATTTGCATACGCATGCTTTAGTGCAGGTGCCAAGTAAAATTTTTGAAAATAGTGGGAGGGGGGTGAACACACGTTCTACCTTTCATGGCATTCTAATGAAAGGTCTCGCCGAAATAAACTACCGCCCTACTTTCTAAATCCTTCTCAAAAAGGGGGGGGGGGGGGGGGGGGTTTATCCTTCATGGTACTCTAACTAAAGGTCTCAACGAAAGCAATTAATTTCTACCAACCACAGCCTCCTCCTCGACCCCTTATCGCGATCGGATACAAATAATTCCTTATATCTCATAAGGTTTAAAAAATGTGCTTTATCTGCACAGGGGTTGTGCACAATTTATACTTGTTCCAAAATATGGCACATTGAAAAATCGAATTGTGGTAACTGGTAACAAACAGCTTTCGATTTGGTTAGCAATCTCTGGGAACGATTTTAATATAAGCCCTCGAAATTCGGATGTTTTGCGGTTTTTCGCCGGGGAGAAAGTAATTAAAACGGTCCGGTCGCCGCAGGCGATGGAAACGCAGACGGCGAAATGTGCGTATATCGCCTTGTCTAGGCGAACCGCGTTCGAAAATGTAAACATTTAATAATGTATAAAGTACTATAAAATACGATATGCAAATACAAAAAACAAGTCTGAATAATTTCGTCCAAACCTGCGTGTATCTATATAAGCGGGATCGTTTCTTACCTCCGCATTATTCTGCGTACATTACTCGTGCAAAACTCGTGCTTTATACATTTTACGTGTGGTCACTGTTACTACTGGTAAGTAGACTGTTTAGCATATTTTCGCATATTAATCAAATGTGACAAATAGGTCGGTTTCGGTGCGCCCAATCGCAAGCGACCATATTAGTGCATACAAAAATATGCACGTGAGAATTTTACCTAATTTTGGTTTTTAGTTAATTATACACATATTTGCAAACGTCCAAACAATGCGGTAATCTAGACCAAAAATTCCGGTAGCTCCATTACGGTAGACTATTACGCATACTTGTGCATATTTATTATATAGCGATGCCATACCTAGTTTTTACGCATGCCAAGATTCAGACTAATCCCTTACCCGTTTTCAAAACAGCTATCCGTATAAGAAACGAAAGCTTCAAATGTTCTAGAACTATGCTCTCCTGATATACAACCATTTCCAGGAATTGATCCATCAGGTGAAATGGAATATTTAAATTAATTGTCTTATGGTCTCCTGATACCAGCTCGTTTTTGAAAGTCACTCCCTGTGTCAGGAGAATAAAATGCTGCTCTCCTGATACACGTCATTTCTGAGAACAGTATAGAATCAGGAGAGTAGAACTCAAGAAAGATTAAAATTGTTTTTTCAATGTAGTCTCCTGATACAAACAATTTCTAGGCGTAATTTTAGTACCAGGAGATCAACCAATTCGTCTCTAAGGTGTTACTGTGTATAGCGGGACGTTTTCTGGGTTGCGCTCTTCCCCTGTAATAATTGTTTTGTTCTCAATGCAAAAAAATAGCACAAATGAAGCACAAAGTTAAAGTAAGTACAGATTTTTAATTCTACAGCAGTTAATAGATGCGCGAAGGACTAATTCGTGCTAAAATGGGAAATAACTCGAAAGCATTAGGAGAAAATTTATCCCCTTCAGAATGAATAGCACAAAAGTAGCACAAAATTGACGCGCGAATGCCTTGAAATTATTCATGTCGAGTATTCTCATAAAATATTGTGGGATTTCATTCAAAACAACGGAATAACCCGAAATTCATAAGAAACAAGATTGTTCTCAGTGCCAAAAAATAGCACAAATGAAGCACAAAGTTAGAGTAAGAACAGATTTTGATTTTACAGCAGTTTATATACGCGCGAAGGACTAATTCATGCTAAAATGTGAAATAACTCGGAAGCATAGGAGCAAATGTGTCCCTTTCAGAATGAATACCACAAAAGTAGCACAAAATTGACGCGCGAAGGTCTTGAAATTATTAATGTCGAATATTCTCATAAAATATTGTGGGATTTCATTCAAAACAACGGAATAACCCGAAATTCATAAGAAACAAGATTGTTCTCAGTGCCAAAAAATAGCACAAATGAAGCACAAAGTTAGAGTAAGAACAGATTTTGAATTTTACAGCAGTTAATATACGCGCGAAGGACTAATTCATGCTAAAATGTGAAATAACTCGGAAGCATAGGAGCAAATGTGTCCCTTTCAGAATGAATAGAACAAAAGTAGCACAAAATTGACGCGCGAAGGTCTTGAAATTATTAATGTCGAATATTCTCATAAAATATTGTGGGATTTCATTCAAAACAACGGAATAACCCGAAATTCATAAGAAACAAGATTGTTCTCAGTGCCAAAAAATAGCACAAATGAAGCACAAAGTTAGAGTAAGAACAGATTTTGAATTTTACAGCAGTTTATATACGCGCGAAGGACTAATTCATGCTAAAATGTGAAATAACTCGGAAGCATAGGAGCAAATGTGTCCCCTTCAGAATGAATAGCACAAAAGTAGCACAAAATTGACGCGCGAAGGTCTTGAAATTATTAATGTCGAGTATTCTCATAAAATTGTGTGGGATCTCATTCTGACAACGGAAGAACTCGAAATCTATAAGAAACAAGTTTGTTCTCGGCGGCAAAAAATAGCACAAATGTCGAGTAAGAACAGATTTAGAATGTAACTGAATTTTGTGGACGGGTGAAAGACCAATTCATACTAAAATGTAAAATAACTCGATAACAGTGACAAGCAAATATATCCCCTTGCGAATAAATAGCACAAAAGTAGCACAAAACTGACGTGTGAACGTTTTGAAATTTTAAAAACGAAATAACTCGAAATCCATAAGAAACAAGATTGTTCTCAGAGCTAAAAAATAACACAAATGAAGCACAAAGTAAGAGTAAGAACAACAGTTAAAAGAGAAGATTTATCCCCTTCAGAGGGAATAGCACAACTATAGCACAAAATTGAGGCACAAAAAAATTTTAAATTTTCCGAGATTTTTATAAGGTTGGTCGGATCTCATTCTAAAAAACGTAATACTCAAAAACCACATGACACAAAAATGTTCCCAGTACCTAAAATAGCACAAATGGGGCACAAAGTTGGAACACGAAGAGATTTTAAATTTTTTAGCACTTTTTGACACAGGCAAATCGAGTTTATGCTTAAACGATGAATAACATAAAACTATACGAAACAATTTATCTTTTTGTGCAGAAAAATAAGGCACAAAATTGGAGTACGAACAGATAGTACAAAAGTAGCACAGAATTGTTGAAGCACAAGGGTTTTGAAATTTTTAATATCGAGCAATCCATATAGCTGGTGGATTTTCATCTCACCAAAGAAAACAACATGCTTCTCAGTGGAAAAAAATTTCGCAAATGAAGCACAAAGTTGGAGTACGAAGAAATTTTGAAATTTTCAGAACTTTGTAGATGCGTTCAGGTCGAGGTTCATGCTAAGATGTTAAATTACTCCAAAACTGTAGGGAGTAAATTATTCCCACTGTGAAAATATAGCACAACGGTAGCACAAAACTGCAGCACAAAAAATTTTGAAACTGTCAAGTATTCCCAAAAAATTGGTAAAATGAGATGCCATTTATCCGTGTGCGCAAAAAATAGCACAGACGGAAAACATTTTTGACACGAAAGGGCTTCACCCTAGAAAACCTAAAAGGGCAAAATTAGCAACAACGGTCAAATAATCTTCGGTGATCCAGTCATCTTTCCACTCAAGAGAATCAAACGCGACAGCTTTTTTCCAATGGAAAAATTCACGCTGTAATTTCAGTAAGCCCACAAATTGAATAATTCAAAAATAAACGACAAAGCGCCATAAAAAACCATTTTGGAAAACTTCCAGCGATTTGGAATTTTTCTGTACACTCACCTGTTAAATCGGAGAACGCGCCACGAAACCACGAGACAAAATCCAATTAATTCCACCGATTTACTATAAATTAATGAGCCGTCCCGCGAACGTTCCGACATGTCACGGCTCCTCCCACCACCCCCCTCGCGCGAATTTTTCAAAAAAAAGTTGGCAACAAATTAAATCGCGTTTTTGCACAATATTTCCTGCTAGACAGAACGTCTCTAAGTGCGATATAAATAGCATTCTAATAAGTGGGAGAGAGAGGCGCGACGCATCCAACGACGTCCTCCTCTAGCTCATTCAGTAATAAGAATCTATAATCGAACACCTTTAGTATACAGTGTACGTCAGAGCGGAGAAGGTGGCAGCTAATCAGTGATTTTTTTTCCTCGAAGAGAACTTTCGAAGGAGACGAGTTTTTGAGTGTTTCAAAAGTGGGACGAAATTTTTCAGGTATGCCTCTCGACTTCGTCCTTCTGCTTCTGCTGGCGCTCCTCCTGAGGACGCGGGCGATGCCGGTCGATTTCGACGACAAAGTCAAATTCGAAAACGCGCCCGAAATCGAGAAGAATTTGGTCGACTATTTAAATTGGTATTACGACACGTACATGGTCGCCGGCGCCAACCACGAGGTCCAGGAGAACGGCGTCGAAAACGAAGACATCTACGAGAAAATGCAGTCGGATCAGGCGCCTCCCGCAGATTTCGGACAGCTGAACAAGCCCATGTACGTCAATCTGTCATCGATTGTCAACCTCACATCCGAAAATCAGTCGGACGAGTACCATCGAATTATGCGGAACAGGTAAGCCACGACGGCCCCTTTCCCAAATCTCGTTGTACAAACATTTCATTTTTAAGCAGACGCGAGGGTAAAACGGATGACAGGTACGAACAGCGTGCTTGCATGAATTTTTTTTCGCATGCGAATGTCTCCTCCCCCGCCGCCGGCGAAAGATTTAAAATTAACCTCTTTTTGGCAACGCAGTTTGCCGCCCACTACCTAAAACGGTTCAAATTAGATAACGCAATGCGTGAAATGAGTTTGTGCATGGCATTCGCCGCTTAATTGCAGGTGCACTGGTAGGGGGTGCACACCCGCCCACTTTTTTTTTGCAAAATCTCAAAGTAATTAAAACAATCGTACCCTAAATGAACTAATCAAATCGGAAAAGACTTTCGTCAACATTTTTTATAGAAATCTGTTTAGTTTCAGTTTTAGTAAGCACTAGGGGTTGATGAATTTGTTAGATTCTGCATTCAAATCGACTAAAAAATCAAACATTGCTTAAACATTTTATGAGAACACAGTGTGCTACGGGTCTGCATTGGCGTTGTTTGGAACATGACTGAAGAATTGAATTGATTAATTTTTTGAAACTTTCAAAAATCTAAGGAAACAGCATTAAAAAAATCTCAAACTGGTGCAGTTGTGCACTGGAGGTATATAAATTCGTGATAACCCGGATTTGAATTGCATTAAACCTATAGGACTCATATGGAATTGAATAATTTTTTGAAAGTTTCAAAAAGTTGAGAAAATTGCTTAAACACTTTTTTATGCTTTAAAAAAATTCGAAAAGTGGCGCAGCGTGCACAAGAAGATACATAAACTTGTTAGATCTTGCATTCACTTGGCACCAGTTTGTCTCTAAAATGGAATTTATTAGTTTTTTGAAACTTTCAAAAAGTTGAAGAAATTGCACATTTTGTATACTAGGAAAAAATGGCGCAATGTTTACTAGTGCTACATTCATTTGTTAGCTTTCGCATTCGCTTTCCGCTTGACGCAAAAATGGCACCGATTAATTCATTGAAACTTTCAAAAAGTAAAGAAAACAACTTGAACATTCCTATTTGTGTTAAAAAAAGTTTCCAAACTGCCACAATGTGCACTAGGGATACATAAATTTGAAAAGTTCTGCATTGGCTCAAAAATGAAATTTATCAAGACTTTGAAACTTTCAAAAAATTAAAACAATTTTTGAAACTGTCGCAGTATGCACTTAGGGGTTCATAAAATATGTAGATTTTGCACTCGTTTTGTAAGAACCTCATTTGATTCAACAATGGAATTTATCCTCTCCTCGCCTTGTTACTACAGCAACTTTGCCGAAACTAAAGCGTTATCTCAGATGGATATTCACAAAGCGAAGCGAGGTGGCCTTTTAATACAATAGGGGGCATAGTTTCGACTTCAATGGCTGAACCATCTCACATTTCCTTGTTAGTACGGCAAATCTGACGAATCTGGAGCATTATCTCGAAAGACAAGGCGATGCGAGGCGGCGTACTCGCCGAAGCCGAAGCTATGTCCCCTATAATATTCCCTTCAATGCCATAGAGGGCATAGTTTCGACCGTCTCAGCTCACTATGTTACTAAGATAAACCTGCCGAAAATTATCCCGAATGGGCATTGACAGGGCGAGGAGGAGACCGAAGGTATGTTACCTATTGTATTTTTTTTTAATACAACAGGGGTTATAGCTTCGACATCGGCGATTGGGCTGTCTCACCTCGTAAAGTAATGCAATATGGGACATAGCTTCGGCTTCGGCGGCTGTGCCGCCTCGCCTCGCCCTGTTACTGCAGTAACCTTGCCGAAACGCGTTATCCGAGATGGATATTCACAGAACAAAGCGAAGTGGCCTTTTAATTAATTTATTTATTTGCCGAAACTTATCCCGAATTGGCAGTGATAGGGCGAGACGAGGCGGCGCAGCCGCCGAAACCGCAGCTATGTTACCTATTGTATTCTTTTTAATACAACAGGGAATATAGCTTCGACTTCGGCGGTTGGGCTGTCTCACGTCGCAAAGTAATACAATAGGGGACATAGCTTCGGCTTCGGCGGCTGCGCCGCCTCGCCTCGCCCTATTACTACAGCAACCTTGCCGAAACTGAAGCGTTATCTCAGATGGATATTGAAATAGCAATAGCGGCCTTTTATTTATTTATTTATTTGCCGAAATTTATCCCGAATTGGCAGTGATAGAGCGAGGCGAGGCGGCGCAGCCGCCGAAGCCGAAGCTATGTCCCCTATTGCCGATTCTGAAGCATTATCTCGAAGGGGAGCGTACTCGCCGAAGCCGAAGGTATGTCCCCTATAATATTCCCTTCAATACAATAGAGGACATAGCTTCGAGGGTATGGACCGTTTCACCTCACTATGTTACTACGAGAAATCTGGCGAAACCTATTCTGAATTAGCAGTGACAGGGCGAGGCGAGGCGGCGCAGCCGCCGAAACCGAAGCTATGACCCTTACTGTATTCTTTTTAATACAATATTGGCATAGCTTCGACTCGGCGGCTGGGTTGTCTCACCTCGTCGCAAAGTAATACAATAGGGGACATAGCTTCGGCTTCGGCGGCTGTGCCGCCTCCTCTCGCCCTGTTCCTACAGCAACCTTGCCGAAACTGAAGCGTTATCTCAGATGGATATTCACTTAGCAAAGCGAGGCGGCCTTTTATTTTTTATTTATTTGCCGAAACTTATCCCGAATTGGCAGTGACAGAGCGAGGCGAGGCGGCGCAGCCGTCGAAGCCGAAGCTATGCCCCCTATTGTATTCTTTTAATACGATAGGGGCATAGCTTCGACTCGGCGGCTGGGTTGTCTCACCTCGTCGCAAAGTAATACAATATGGGACATAGCTTCGGCTTCGGCGGCTGCGCCGCCTCACCTCGCCCTGTTCCTACAGCAACCTTGCCGAAACTGAAGCGTTATCTCAGATGGATATTCACATAGCAAAGCGAGGCGGCCTTTTATTTTTTATTTATTTGCCGAAACATCCCGAATTGGCAGTGACAGGGCGAGGCGAGGCGGCGCAGCCGTCGAAGCCGAAGCTATGCCCCCTATTGTATTCTTTTAATACGATAGGGGCATAGCTTCGACTCGGCGGCTGGGTTGTCTCACCTCGTCGCAAAGTAATACAATATGGGACATAGCTTCGGCTTCGGCGGCTGCGCCGCCTCACCTCGCCCTGTTCCTACAGCAACCTTGCCGAAACTGAAGCGTTATCTCAGATGGATATTCACATAGCAAAGCGAGGCGGCCTTTTATTTTTTATTTATTTGCCGAAACATCCCGAATTGGCAGTGACAGGGCGAGGCGAGGCGGCGCAGCCGTCGAAGCCGAAGCTATGCCCCCTATTGTATTCTTTTAATACGATAGGGGCATATCTTCGACTCGGCGGCTGGGTTGTCTCACCTCGTCGCAAAGTAATACAATAGAGAACATAGCATTGGCTTCGGCGGCTGCGCCGCCTCTTCTCGCTTTATTACTAAGACAACCTTACCGAAACTGAAGCGTGACCTCAGATGGGTACTTACAGAGCGAAGCGAGGCTGCAATAGGGGACATAGCTTCGGTCTCGGCGGTTGGACCGTCTCACATCGCCTCGTTACTACGCTGAAGCATTAGGTGAAAAGACAGGGCGAAGCGAGGCGGCGTATCCGCCGAAGCCGAAGCTATGTCCCATGTCCCCTATAATATTCCCTTCAATACAATAGAGGGCATTGTTTCGACTTAGGAGGCTGGACTGTCTCAAATCACTATGTTACTACGATAAACCTGTCGAAACTTATCCCGAATGGGCATTGACAGGGAGAGGCGGCGCGGCGTAAGATAAAATTTTATGAAATTTCCAATCGAAGATTTCTTAAATTTGCAAAATTTGAAAATGGGTCTGTAACATCCAATAACTCATGTTATTTATTCTTTGTTGACAGTTATTCGTAGTCTGGCAGTTCCAACATTTTTGTAATAAGCATAAACATGTTCAAACATCAGTGCAAGGTTTCTTTTTAGTAGACAGTACAACATTAAAAAAAAATATTTTTTAATTTTCAAAAAACCTTTAAACTAAATACGCCTATTTCATTCCTTAAATTATTTAATCTATTCCTTTGTCGTTCGTGCCCTCTCTTCGATTTAGAACAATTTTCCAATGAACATACAAAAACCATTTCAAGAAGTGTATGCAGCTTCGTACACTATAAACTGATCCAGTTCGGTAATTGTTTCAGTACACATAAAAGTGCTTAGGCAGTATTTTATGAAAGTTTAAACAAAATCAGATCTAAGGAATTAGATTTATTTTATTTCCTTGATTTTTGCACAAATTTTTTAATCTAACATAGCTTTTTTGAAATTTGGGTTTTTGATTTCCGCATTTTGTGATCCTCTAATCAAATTTGGTAAAGGTTTATTGCTTTGCATGATAGTCGAGTGCACCCATTTTTACCCGTTCCAGAATGTTTTTTGATTTTTTTTGTAATGTCTGAGCAGTCTTCAATTCAGTTTGGAAGAATTTTTTGAATTCTTTTAAACCAAAGAAAATGTTTGTGGCTTGTAGGTAGTACTTATTGCGTTGAGATTTGAGAACTACCTACTTGTTGCATTTTTTATTTTCTCAAATTTCCTCAAATCGCGAATATTAAGGTGCGTTCTCCTAACGATTAGTTATTAATGAACGAAGAAAATTTCGGAAAATCGATTCATTTAATTTCAATTTACGTCGCCTAAAAACAGATGCGCTTTCTTGTGAAAAACAAACAGGTGACCTCGTGCGAAATTAACGAGTGAGCGATTCAAATTTATGGATCATTAATATTAATATTTCCCAAAAAACAGACACACTGGCATTTCAGGGAACCGAAATTTCTCTCGTCGACAATTAGATTAGTTGCACAATTCACGTAATGCGGATATTCAACTCCAATTTCGTTGGGATCAGCGAATTGTCGACATTTTCCAATTCATTTCCGGCGTCGTTCAATTACGATAAGGATGGGTGATTTTAATATTAATCGCAATCCAATCGAAGAATCGCAGGGATTGTTTTACAATAATTGTAGTAGATAATGTGGCATTTGATAGCTCTTAGA